AGCAAAGATCCTCTGTCCAAGGCAGGGCTCTTGCTGCCTAAGTCACTCATGCTTCTGTACCTTCCTCAGGTCATTCCCAAATGCAATTTCCTTGCTTTCCTCCTTACCCACCACGCTCGTTAAATTGCTTCCAGTTAATTGATAATCAAGGTCAGGAAGCCGGGAGAAGCCTGAAGGTTGGTGGTAAGCACACATCTCTTACAGTGGTAGCTCTCCCAAACTCGGAGGGTGCCCAGCAGCCCTCAGGAGCTGCACGTGCCACCCTGTGACTGCAGCAAGGGCACAGCTGCAGCACAGCACTCGAGCACGCAGCGATGCTGCAAAACACGTCACGGCGAGGGGGAAGCAAACAGAGCAAACAGGAACTCGGGCTCTGCTCTCTCACAGCGACGTCCAGGCTGCAGCCTTTGGGCAAGAAATGTAAGCACGGGATCTCCCTTCTGCCATGCCAGCCCCAGAGAGTCTCTCACCCCTGGCAGGGTGACCACAGCTGCAATGGCCTTTCTCTGCCCTGCCTTGGCCTGAGTGCAGGACTGATGGTGGGGATGGACAGGGAGCAGGAAAGGACTCACAGTTCCGAGCACCGAGCTCCAGAAGGCTCCAAGGCCCCCTGTGGAACAGGCAGGGCTCGCGGCACAGCGCAGGGCTGGGGCTGGGACCCGGCTCTCAGATCTCTGTGTTGGCACAGAAGTAGCACAACTGCGTGGAAAGGGTAATGCCAAAGGCATCTTTAGGGCCAGGAAGGGATTCCGAGATCCTCATATCCAAGTTGGGAAACAGCAGCCCCCGGAAGCCCACGCGGTCCCCGCTCAGCACACGCTGCGACACCCACGAGTTCCTGCTGCCAAAGGGATCTGGAACAAACTAAAGATACACCAGGGGCCCTCCCCAGCTCTTCACTTACCCACTCCCAGCAGCTTCGTCAGCTGCAAGGACTGGTGCAACTGCAAGTGGAAGAGGGGAGAAAGCAAGGCAACCTCGCCCAGAAAAAGGGATGCACAACCCAATCCCTGGGAACGAGGGAAAGCTCCACCAAGGTGCAGCACTACCACAGGGAGCTGCACGAGGCTGTTTCTCCTGGCCAAGTACCTGACCTACACTGACAAGCACCACAGTGTTACACCCTCCCAGGCTGCTCCACTGGTCTGTTCTCTAGCAGGTTTTTTTAATTCTGTTTCTAAAGCCCATCTTACTTACCCAAGAAGGTGGCTCCATACTGTCCTGAGGACAGTTTGCCAAATTCACAGCCTGATATCCCCAAATTTCTGTGGTGCACATCTGTTACACATCTGCCTAGAGCAGTGGCTCCGGCTCTGTGCTCTCCTCAGCAAACAGGTCTCGTTTCCTGTGCTGGTTTTCCTCTCTGGCAACACCTATGCTGGTGTTACTTCAGCCAACTCCTCTCTCATTTCTCCTCTGCTTCCTTCTCATCCTTCTTTCTGATATTCCCAGAGTTTCTCCTCAGCTGCAGTTCTCCAGGGCTCCTGTGAGACACACTTGTGGTCTCCTTCCCCTGCATTCAGACCTGCCCCCAAGCCCCAGCCCCACTGTTCCTCTGCTGACACCAGCTTTCATCTCTTCACAGCAGCAGGACTGCACTGCATTTCCTCTGGGAGCCATGTCCTGTGTGCTGGTGGATGCCTGGTACTCCACAAGCTCACACGCTTCAACACGTGTACCAAAAGAGAACGTCACAAAGCAGCTGTTAGAGGCAGCAGGGGATAAACCTTTCCAATGCAATTAAATAAAAGTAATTTTGGCAGGGATTTCCACTGCAGTGGTGGCATATGAAATAAGCTGGGGCAGTCGACTTGTGGATAAACAGCCTTTGTCCCTGAGAACAAGGATCTGCTGTGGCTGCACCGACACTGGTTAAAGAAGAAAGACAATGAGAAGAAGCTACTTTCAAACAAGACCAGGAAGGGGCAAAGGCAGCTCACTGATTTTATTTTAAAGCATTAGATGTGCTTCTGTGAATAACGACAGGCTGTTAAACACAACCACACACACAACCAGCAGCCGATGCCCCAGCCCAGAGCAGGGGCTGATCCCCGGGGGGCTCACAGGGAGCCCCTGACGTTGGGTTCCAAACACTCCCCCTGAGAACCAGCACTGTGCCTGCCTGGAAGCAGCAAGAAGTGAAAGCACCTAATCTATTTGCTTTTCCAAGCTAAATATAGGACAAAGGAGTGAAAGGCACAGATGGTGAAAGCTCTGCAACTTTTGAGATTCTCCTGCTCTAGGAATTTAAGCTGCTAAAGCACACACAGGCTGAGCCTTCCCAAATACCTTCACAAGGGAGCAAAGCCCAGCTGCACCATCGCCACCGGCCACACATGTGACACGGGATCACACCTCATTCACAGCTCCCTGATCCTGCTGCCCCTCTCCTGACTGCTCCTTGCAAATTTCCACGGAGAGAAGGAACAAAAACACACCCCGTGCAGAATCGACTTCAAATGGAGACACAACAAGAGGAACAATGAATTATTTCATATGCAAATGTGAGCACAAAATAAAGGTAGATTAATGATTCAGTAGCAAAATTCTTCCAGGCAAATGAGCAAGGCTGAAAGAAAACCCAAAGGGAGGGTGAAGCCGAGGTATTTAGAGGAAACAAAACCAGAACAGAAAAAACTTCATCCTCTTATACACCATTAAACTGTGTTCAAACTGCATTTCTGCAAAACATCCACAATCCTTGTGCAAGAGAGGGGCAGGATCAGCCCAAGCACCCAAAAGCCAAAGTCCAGTAGGTAAAAAGGCAGAGCTGCAGAATGTTTTGGGACTCTTTGTCCTCCTTGGAACTGCCCAAAGGAGACACAGGTGAACATTATCAGGCCCGATTGGAGGGGAAAAGGGGCACTTTGGGGCAGGAAAGTGCTGTAACAGTGCAAGGTAAGGGAGACCAAAAATCAAAATTAAGGAAAAGCACCAGCAAAAGTGTATTTATGTACAGAAAGAGAATTGTCCATGAGAACAACACACACAGGAGCAGCACCCAGGGATAAAGCCCAGCTGTGTTCCATCCTCCATTACAAACTGCTCTCACCCACCTCTCCATGGTATAAACACTTCAGTGCCTCCTGACCAGGAGGATGAATCTGCACTGAGTGTGACACGCCGGTGTGAGGTGGAATGAGACAAAACTCGGAGGTGTGGGATGTCCAAATCCCAAACCCAATGCAGAACTCCATTTAACCCAGCACCCAGAGCAGCTCCATCACCCTCTGTCCAGGACAGTGCCAAGGGAGCTGGAGCACCGAGCAACTGGTGACTCCGAGCACACAGACCCTGCACCGAGCCCGTGGTGCGTGGGGACGGTGTGGGGCTCCAGGCACCCCCAGGACTCAGCTCCAGCCCCAGAGGGTCGGGATTCGCGGGTCTCGCTCCAGCCCTGAAGCCGCAGAGCCCGCCCGGGTCACTGCGGGCCCCTCGCTCTGCACCCGAGCGTCTCCGGCAGCAGAGACGGGAAGGACCCGCCCGGCCGCAGCTCGGAGAGCGCAGAGGAGAAGCGGAGAGCGGTGCCCTCACCTGCCCCCTCCGACACCGGCCCCGCAGAGCGGCGGGACGAGCCCGCGCCCGGGAGACAACACGGGCAGAGAAGGCCCGGCCCGAGCAGGGGCTGCGGCCGCGGGTCCGCACCGGCCCCGCCCGGGGAGCACCGGCTCCCGCCCCGCCCGTGAACCCACCGGGAGCGACGGGACGCGAGCGGCCCCTGAGCGCCGGTGCGGCCCCGCCCGGGCTCTGCCGGGGCTGATCCCGCTCCCCGCCCGCCTCCCGAACCTCCATCGCCCTGCCCCGCTCAGGGCCGGCACCGGGAACCGGCACCGGGAACCGACACCGGGAACCGGCACCGGGAACCGGCACCGGGCAACGGACACCGGGAACCGGCACCGGGAACCGGCACCGGGAACCGGCACCGGGAACCGGGAACCGGCACCGGGAACCGACACCTGGAACCGGCACCGGGCACCGGCACCGGGAACCGGCACCGGGCACCGGGAACCGGCACCGGGAACCGACACCGGGAACCGACACCGGGAACCGGGAACCGACACCGGGAACCGGCACCGGGAACCGGCACCGGGAACCGGCACCGGGCAACGGACACCGGGAACCGGCACCGGGCAACGGACACCGGGAACCGGCACCGGGAACCGGCACCGGGAACCGGGAACCGGCACCGGGAACCGACACCTGGAACCGGCACCGGGCACCGGCACCGGGAACCGGCACCGGGCACCGGGAACCGGCACCGGGAACCGACACCGGGAACCGACACCGGGAACCGGGAACCGACACCGGCCGGGGCTCGGACCCCGTGGGCCGGGCGGCAGGGCCGGGCCGGGCCCACTGCCCGGCACCCCCGAGCCGCGGACAGCCCCAGGCCCGGCGGCTCCGCAGCCCCCGGACCCTCAGCCCCCTCCGGGAGCTCCCCAGGCCGCTGCCCCGCGGTCCCCAAACCCCCGCCCAGGCCCGGCCCTGCCCCCCGCAGACCCCCGGGAGGAGGAGGAGGAGGAAGAGGAGGAGGAGGGTGGGGAGCGAGAGCCTCACCGGGAGAGGTGCTTCAAGATCTGCTTCTTGATGATGCCCGCCATGCCGGGCCGGCGGGTCAGGCCCGCGGGCGGCGGGACCCCATCGCGCACCGCCCGCCCCGCTCCGCCCGCCCCCGGCGGCGCCGCCCCCTGACCGCTCGCCCCGCCCCTCCGGCCACGCCCCTCCGGCCACGCCCCCGCCGGGAACCCGGACCCCTCCCGGGACCTGCAGGACCCCCCTCCCGGGAGATCCAGGGACCACCCCGGGACCTGCAGGACCCCCCTCCCGGGAGATCCAGGGACCACCCCGGTACCTGCAGGACCCCCCTCCCGGGAGATCCAGGGACCACCCCGGGACCACCCCCATCAGCCCTGAGCCCCCCCCAGACCAGCCCTGTCCCACCACCACTTCCCACCTACATCCTTCCCCAGGAGAGGGTCCAGAACAAGGCTCAGAGTCCGTATGGAAACAACATCAATGTTTTATTGTTATTTTTACGACTCAGTGGGGGGTAAAATATAACACAATTAAAAAGAACGCCCCAAAAGCCAGACCCCATCCAGCAGTCAGTGCAGGGTGTGTCCATGCTGAGGCGACGGCAGAGCCCCCACACACACCCAGGACAAAACCCCAGGGACATGGGTCTGTGGTATTTGCCATAGGGAAGATCCCAGTATGAAAAGGCAGCTCCATTTCCACCTTTATCTGTCTGGACGGGTCATTCCCGGCCTGGTTGGCACCATCATGGGTCTGGAGGGGGGTCTCATCATCGGGGGCCCCGGCATCATGGGCATGTGTCCTCCCATGGGTGGCCTCATCCCGGGGGCTGCCGGGGAAAGACAGGATGTTAGAGAACACTGGGAACAGCTACTGCCCAGTCACCAAAGAACACGGAATGCTTTGCATTGGAAGGGACCTTAAAGACCAATTTCCAGCCCACTCCACGGGCAGGGACACCTTCCACCAGCCCAGGTTGCTCCAAGCCCTGTCCAACCTGGCCTTGGACACTTCCAGGGATGGGGCAGCCACAGCTTCTCTGGGCAACCTGTGCCAGGGCCTCTCCACCCTCACAGAGAGAAATCCCACACTGTACAGTGGGCAGGTTCTCTCCCCCCGTCAAGGAAGTTCCAGTCTGGAAGCTGCTGAGATGGATTCTGTTCCCTGACGGAGCTCAGCCATCAGCAGAGGAGGAACCAAGCTCATAGGTTATACACCCACCCTGACAATATTCACTGGTAAATTACTGCCAGAGAGAGACACGTGAGCTTAATTACTGATCAGGAGAAAAGTGCTGCAAAACCCTCCCATGTGCCCACGAACAAGCACTGGGCACCTCTTCCAGCCGGGAAAGAGCACAGCCAGGGAAAAGCATGGGCTCTGCTGCACAGCCCTGAAATAATGGTTTCCATCCCACTTCGCCATTTATTTTCACCAGGCTGCTGAATATTGCAGATTGTGTACTTATCTTGTGCTTTAAAAACACTTACAGAACACTTTCTACCACAAGACAGTAATTGCAAAGACACTTCACTACTCTCAGTGCACGTGTGTGTGTTCCTGTAGAGCTGTTCTGGGAAATGCTCCAGTAAGACATCCCCTGAGAATTCTTCAAATGCCAGGAAACTCAGAAGTGGAATGGATCAAAGACCTTTTAGTTTGCCTTTACAGTTCTAAAAAAAAGCTTTTTCAGGCCCATTATTTCTCTAGAACACGTTATCTTGAGACATTTTAAACAGTGAAATTCATTTAGTGCAGAAACGTGCCCCTTGTGCAAAACCTGAGAGCTGCAGACACCAAATTCCTAAAAAATTACTGCTCAGAGCAGAGGAAGAACAGCTACAGCTTCCCAGAGCCATAATTTCAGCTGTGCAGGGAGGGCTGGTGACTCTCAGCCAGGAGTAAGGGGGCTTTAATGAGTGGTTCTAAGACTGCTGTATGCAGGGGGTAACAGTGACAGAGGTGTGAGCAGAGCGTGCCCCCAGCCCAGCCCAGCCCTGCTCCCCACAGCTCAGTCACCAGTGGGTCAGGACACATCCCCCAGACCCCCCCAGCACCCCCGACAGTCACCCCATCCCAGACTCACCGGGTCCCACTGGCATCATTCCCGGGGGGGGTGGGCCCATCATTGGCATCATCGGGGGCCCCCCCATGTGTGGGGCTGGCATCATCCCGGGCCGGGGGGGGCCAGCTGGACACAGAGACAGTTACACACTGCAAGCAGCCAGCACCCACAGGCAATGCAGTTATTCACTCTCACAGCACATGGCAGGAACTAAGGCCCTGGTGGCTTTACATCTGCCTCCCTCACTCCCAGCCCCGATTCCAGGTGCCAGGTGACCCAGAAGAGGAATATGCTGGCTGCCAACTCCAGCTGTGCACACCCAGTGCAGGGAACTGCCACTCCCAATAGCAGGACTTGGGGCTGGAGGTCTCTCGGCCCTTTGCCAGCTCAAGTGCAAAAGGTTATCAAAATTATTCTATTTAAAAAACCCAACCCAAACCCATGCACCACTGGCAGCTCTGATGGAGCTGCCTGCACGGGAGCCCCCACAGATGGAGGGGCTCTCACTGCTACTGAGAGTCTGAGCATCCCTGAAATCAGACACACCGAGGACTGGGGTGCTGCTGGACTGCCCCCACACAGAACTCCCACACACAACCTCAAAATGCCTTGACTTGGTTTCAAGCTAAAAGGACTTTTCTTTCCAAGTCGAGGCCACCAGCCACACACGTCAGGAGGGCCACGGTCCCAGTCCCAAAGTGCCAGGTGAGACTTACGGATGCTGGGAGGAGGTGGGATCATGGCTCCGGCCGGAGGTGGTGCCGAGAACGGCGTCGGTGGGATTTTCCCTTGCTGGAATGCAGCCGCTACATTGGGGGGGAAAAAAAAAAAAAAAAAAAGGAAAGAAAGAATCCCAGGGAAAAAAAAACCAGTTACTAGGCCGAGGAAGCGCCGGGGGACTCGTCCGTTCATGCCCCGCGGAGAGAACATCGCGTCATGCAGCCGGCTCCGGACACGTCCCTGCGGGCGGGAGCACCTGGCACTCCTGGAGACAATCACTGTTACACGGGGACCAGGGGGCTGTGTCACACCCCCACGGCACCCGGGCGGGGACAGGAACACCACACGCACGGCGGGATCCGCAGCGCTCCACCGGGACATGCTGTGCTGGAATGGCAACGGGGCGAGGGCTGGGAGGGACAGGGAGCAGGGAACGGGGGAAGGCAAGGGCAGAAGTTCAAAAGGCTGGAGTCGAGTAGGAGGAAGGCGAAAGAGGGGGAGGTTGGAAGCATCACAAGGGAAATGGGCAAAAGGAAAAGGAATGAGGAGGCGTCGGGGGAAGCCCAGATGTGAGGTTTTAGGAACAGGCTCTTCCACCAGAGGGTGGTGGGACACTGGAACACTCCCCTGGGAAGTGGGCACGGCTCTGGGCCTGCCAGAGCTCAAGAAGCGTCTGGGTGATGCTCTGAGTCACAGGGCTTAGTCTTAGGCAGTCCTGCACGGACCTAGGAGTGGGGGCAGTGACCCAAAGGGATCCTTTCCAACTGAAGATATCCTGTGATCCAAGCAGAGCTGCCACAAAGTCAATCTGGTGTTTGCATTGCTTTCACAGAAAGAACCATTCCTCAGAAGAAAGCAAAGGAAAAAGGGCCCCAGGAACTGACACAGAACACACATGCTTTAGTCAAGGCTTTAAGAGCAAGGGAAAAATATCCCTTGGGAACTGAGGGTGAACAACCCCAGTGTGTGAAAAACACAACAACGCAGACGTTTTAACGTCTGCTTTCCTATCTTTTGGAATTCCTGTTCGTGCTCTTCACACAAACGTGGCACTATCAGGGAGCACAAGTGGTTGTGTGACCCTGTGGGACATCACCAGACACAGAGACACTGCCCCAGCCTGGGCAGGGACCCTCAGCTGCTGGGGGGTGGGCAGAGCCCTCGGGCTCCCTGGGGCAGCCCACTCTCTGAAGAGCTCAAGATCAAAACTCCAAGTGAAGTTTTCACTCGTGACTTCCCCAGGGCAGTGAGAACGAGCTGAGGTGGGAGCAGGGAAGAGCAGTCAGAGGAGAGGCAGGGGAGGGCAGGGGTGTCACGGAAGGATTGGCCTTACTTGTTTTGTCAATCAGGCTCTGGGCCTGCTCCTCCATCCATTTCTGGTAATAGTCCTTCACGTTCTCCTTGTGCTTCCGGCCACTGCAGTGGGTTTTCCTCACGGAGGGCTGAGAAACATCAGAGAAACCTAGAGATTACTGAGGACTCGGTGTGACTTTAAACACAGGCAATTCAGCAGCACAAAGCAGCTTGGTTTGTGCCCAGTCAGAGGACGGGAGATGCGCAAAACCTCTGTGTGATAAGTGTTGACCCCCCAGTTTAAGCAGAAGGTGCCCCGAGGGCCCCCCAGCTGCCTTCCCCGGACCCCCGCGGGCACCGGAGCGTCACTGCCCCGCTGGGAGGGCCGGGAACACGGCACGGCCTCTTCTGGCTGGAACCAGGAGACAATAAGTGACACCACTTATGTCATGAGCCGTGGTCTTAGCCGGAATAAGTTTATTTTGATGTTCTTGGTACTCACCGAGTCATGGGTGAGGTACGTGTCGCAGTAATCGCAGTAAAACCTGCAGAGGGAAAAGCGGGTTACTGAGAGCCCTCCCTTGCGCTGTGGGCCCCGGATCGGCCCCGCGTGGCTGGGTTGGGTTGGGTTGGGCCGGGACGGGCCGGGCTCGGTCTGCCCGGTCTGCTCGGCCCCGGTCCCGGTCCCCCCGTTCCCCCCGCTCTCACTTGGGCATGGTGCTCCCGCCGCCGCCGGACGGAAGTGACGCACACACGCACGCACTGACGCAATCACACAGCGCCGCCGCTTGTCCCCCGCCGGCCGCCGTAGGGCCCAGAGGGGACGGTGGGTAGGCCCCGCCCCCGGTCACGCCACCGCTCCCCGCCCAGGGACCCGGGAGCGCCCGCACCGCCCGCACCACCCGCCCTGTACAGAGCGCCCGGTTCGCTGCTGCCCGCGGCGCAGCCGGGACAGAGTTGGCCCCTCCGTGTTCTCCTCACAGGAAACACCCCCTGCCCCGGGTCACGAAGCGGCCTCGCGCGGCCGAAAACTACTACGGGAAAAGCGTCATTTTGTGGAGGAAAAAAAACAGCAAGCGATTTCCCGGCGGGCCTTGCGCAGCCTCATTTGCATGGCGACGAGTGACGTCACAACAATTAATTTGCATGCGTAATCCCGCGGGCCGCGCCGCCGCCATATATGGAAGGCAGCGCGCGCCGGGGGGCGGGGCCTCCCGCCGGTGACGCAGCATCCAGCGCGGAGCCCGCGCGTCACGCCCGGACGTCATTTGCATACTAGGCCTCCGCCCCCTCGTCCTTGCCGCGCTCCCTGCCTTGTCCGCGGGCGCGTGGCCCCGCCTCCCCTCTCGCGCGCGAGGTGACGTCAGCGCGGCGGTGACGCCTCGGCGCCGCGCGAGGCGGGGCGGGGCGGCGCAGGCGCAGAGCGCGGACGGCGCGCGCGCACCC